CCTAGCAAGTGCTAACTGGGATTTCTAGTATTTCTTTGTGATGACCGATTTTGAAATGGGTTTCTCTAATGCCAGGAAATCGCGTCTGATGTTGTCAAATACTAGAACTGCCAATAGCCAGAGCTGGACGGAATGTCCTATTTATGTGGGGGGGTTTTGTAAGACGTTCGTTCACCTTCCTTTTTTTTATGAATTTTTTTAAATAATAAAGGTTGAGTAAATACACGTCTAACCTTGACTGCCTTTCTCTGTCTTCAGACCGCTATATTCACTTTCCCTTTTGCCTACCTCGCAACACCCTCCCCGCAGCCAGGGAGGGGCAGGCGAAGCTACAGGATGCGCTGCTGGGGGCTCGGGGGCGGCGAGCCCTCGCTCGGCGGTGGCAGGAGCGCGCACCGCCCGAGATCCGGCTGATAGTGAGAGTAGTGGGTGTCCCCAGACCTCCGGCGCTCCCGGGGGAGGAGACCGGCCAGGAGGACCGTGCGCTTCCTCTGTGACCCCGGCGAGCCGCCCCCAGAAGGGTGAAGGTGCAGGGCTGACCGGCGGTGTGCAAGCGAATCCAGGCCAAAAACCCAGGCGGGGAAAGCCGCCCTGGGTTGCAGAGCCGCCGCGCCGAGGACGCCCCGTCTCGGGCACGCAGGCGGTGCCAGACCGGAGCCCGGGGGCAGCGCGATCGCACCTGCGGCGAGGCGGGGCTGCGGGGCGAAGGCAGGAGGGCAGCGCCCAGCCCGGCCGTGCGAGGTTCAGCCCCCTCCCCGGGGGATGGTAACTGCGCTCCAAAGGGTGCAGGGTGAAGGACTTTGCTGCCTCGGAGCCCGACAGGTGAGACCGGGCGTGGAGAGCATCCCGCAGCCGCCGCAGGAGCTGTGCAAAGACGCCCAGAAACAGCGGGTCTTTAGGGACCTCCCACGGCGCCTCCGAACGCCGCCTTGTTCTTCATAGCAGCGGGACGAGGCGCCCGAGCTGTTAAGCCCCTAAGTTTTGGAGAGGGGTGCACGGCCCGGAGGCAGCGCAAGCCGGGGACGCCGCTCTCCGCAGCTGCGCACAGAGTCGCGCCCGCAGTGCTCAACTAAACCTGCGGAAAGCTGTTTGTTAGGGCGTAATAGCCCCTGTTTTGCCTGTGACAGTGTTCCTCTGGACCCGCAGTGTTCCTGTCCCTCAACATTCACGGTTTAGACCAGCATGCGTAACCGCTCCCGCCATCTCCCCTAACACGAGTAGCACCGGATGGTCCGTCACAGAAGATATCAGACGCTCCGACCACGCTCCTCTGTCCCCTTTGCCCCCGAAGCCCTCGCCCTGGGTGGGAGCGGAGGGCGCGCAGCGCCCCTGCAAATCCGGCCGCTCTGCTGAGGTGTCAAAAGATCCGGCTCAGGTGGCCGCTTCGGGCTTCTCGACCCGCCTGGCCATCGCGCCTGCTCTGACGGCCTCTAAAACCTATTCAGCCCTTTCACCTTCCCGCTGCCCTCAAGGGCGGAACCCCCGGCACTGGCCTCGGGGCTGCACAAGTTCCGCCTGACTCGGGCGCCTCCGGCTGATGCTGGGGCGGTGGGACGAGAGCCCACCCTGAGGTGGGCTTGCTTCCCCTGGCTGCGCGCTGGGCGCCAAGCGCAGATCCCTCTGGAGCGGAGGGGAGCCTCGGCGGCAGCGCAGGGTGCGACAGGGCATCCCCCCGCTCCTCCCGGCGCGGGCAGCGCCCGCCCAGGCGCTGCAAAGGAGCGCTGAATCGCGGCCAGCACCGCCAGTGCCTCCCGCCTGGTGCATGGGCTCACCAGCTTCGGCTCCCTCCAGGCCCCCCACGAGGAACGAAGAGCGCTCTTCCCTGGAATCAGACTCTCCAACACCAACAAACCCGGCCCGGCCCCGCTGCGGGACAGCAGAGCCCCCCGCTCTGCCCCCCTGCCCACGGCTCCCAGCGGGGCCCCGGCCCTGCCCCCGCAGCGCCTTTCCCAGCCCCACACACATCGTGCCGCCAAAACCAAAGGTAGAGGAGCAGCGGGTCTCCTCTCGGCTACAAGGGCAGCCTCTGTGTGCGCGATTACTATTTTTCTTTTTTTTTTTCCTTCAGCTTAGTTTTCCTTATTTTACAATAAAGCCATTCTTTGCTTTCTCACCTCGTTATCTCTTTCCCTTATCCACTTTTGGCACGCTTTAGTTGTAATCCGAAGTTACTACCAAACCCCTGGCACGTTCCCACCCCAGCCCCAACCCCCAGGACATTTTACGGCCATACGGACTTCTGCGATCACTGTCCTTACGTGGGCTTTAATAGTAACAGAAACAGCCTCGTCTTTACTCTCTACTACCAGAAGATTTTGGTCAAAGGCTATCTGAGGTCAGGATTTTTTTCTTTTCTTTTTTTTTTTTCCTAAATAAGTCAGCTTTCTGAAGCTACATTCCTCCTTTAAACCGAACACAGAGCTCTTATTTATCACTTTCTCTTTAATCAGCAACAGAAGAAAAAATTGCTATGAATTCCTGGAATCCCTGAAAGAGATCACACTTTTCCTTTGCACAAATCAAAGTTATCTGCTCCTATTATATCCTCCACTTAAAATGAATCATAAGCCTCCATCCCACTGAGCTTTCTCGGGGATACTTGTTTAGCACAGACGAGAACAATACGCTGTACATCTAAAGAGCCCAGGGCGGCAGAAGCCTCTCCGGCTGATACAAAGGATTGAGAAACGTCCTATCTTTAAAACGCGTTTTTAGTGCCTTTCCACCTCCCAAGTGCACGACAAACAGAAGTCAGAGAGCAAGAAGAGATTTATCAGAGAAAGATCTGAGTGGTGATTACGTGTTCTGTCAATAATTAATTGAATTATGTCCTCATCATAATTACATACAGTCCTCTAGCCAGGAGGAGAAAAAAAAAAAAAAGGAAGTTGTGGTGTGGTCGGAGGGGGATCTCAGGACATGGTTCCAGTCATTAAAAATGTGATGTAACATTGCAATCTGGTGTATTCTGAGGCACAAATGGGGAAACACAAACGAAACCAACTACTAAAATATTATTTGCTTTACAGCAGGGAGACAGAAAAAGCACTTGCTTGCATTAGTTGTTTTCATTACTATTTTCTGCTGGGGATTTAAAGGTATTTTACAATGAAAAAAACAGAGGTCTTACTCATTTATCTATGAACTATATGTTTTGGGGGTTGTATTGTTCACCACATGCTATCTGACTACACTGGAGGTTTCTGATGTTTGAAATAAAAATTTTAATTGGTCTAGAAATTAAAATTAGTCCAGTAAGGCATCCTATATTCAATACCAATGTAGAAATGACACATTCAAAGAATCTTACAAGCAAATTCTTACTCAAACACTAATTTTTCTGTACTTCTTCCAGTCATAAGGGAGATCATCATATCATTATTAATTTATTATTTACTAAGAGCTGTTAGAGTACTCTTTTGGTACACAACTGCAAGAAAACCAAGAGCTCGATTCAGTTCTCACACAAGTTTTGCTCTGGTGTAACTTCAACGACACGGGTGCAGTCACTTCAGAACCACCTGGGTGTAATTATGATAAAAATCTGGGCTATTGCACTTCCTTTGCTTCTCTAATGGTTCAAAACCTCTCTTTTCCTACAGCGTGCTGCAGAAGACAGACATCTGTTTGAATACAGAGCCTAAAAATCACTCTCAAGTTCCTCCTCACTGACAATGCCAGTGTCCTATATCCTGCCAGAATTTAGGTATGTCAGCACATTTCCTCACTGCTCTGCACCCTCCCTACAGCATGAGAGTTGTAAACCTCATCGATATGTTTCCTTCCACTTGTTAAGGCAAATCCTCCTGGTGTCTTGAGCTTTAGATCAGGTAGCTTTTCATTCTAATTGCTTTTCAGCATCCAGCTGCAGAAAGGAATTTGACACCTGCTTCCTTCTTTGCAAATTTCTCTTTTCAAACAAATGTTTGATGATGCCTCTTGAAAAGGGGTTCATTTATGACCTTCAGTTAATTGGCTAATTCATGTATTTCTCATCTACTTGGCCTTCCACCTGCGTCTTCAGGGATTTTGGAAGTGGTTTACAGTGGTAAAGGCACTAACAATCAACTGCCAAAAAATCTTAACTAGAACAGCAAACAGTATTCAGTAGTCCCTGTGTGAAAATGCAATACAAGGCAAGGTTAAAATCCTTCAGCTAATATATTTTGTATAAGAATCCTTCTTAGGGTATAATGCTTACCCCCTCAAAAAGTAAGGATCCCTCAGTCTGGTCCACAGAGTTCCTGTGCCCATCAAACTTAGAAGATCAGGCCTGTCTGATGTTTCCTCTCTCTTTTGCAAGTTAGTAGATCTATCCTGACTTTGCTTATGAAAGCATTTGCTTCCATTTCCTTTCAAGTAATAAATATCCCTCATCTTAAAAGGACATTTAGGACATGGCCATATGAGGTAAGGTAGCTCAACCTCCTGCATGTCGCGTCCCCAGTGCCCAGAATTACCCCAACACGGAGGCAATCCCTGAATCTCTGCTAAAGATATCCAAGAACTGCATTTCTTACTGGAGATTTCAAGAATGAACCAGTACATGGTCCCTGGAAGGAGGGCATTCCATTATCCATTATAGAGTAACAGGCACTATAAAAAACTATCAACAGATATAAATTTTTACTGAAATCCCTAGCAATGAGGTTAAGAACCATGGCAAAGCCTTTGATATTTTCTGCCCATCTTTCCCCTGTAACCCTCTTAGGTTTATAAAGCAACTAGTGCTTGAGCAGTCTGCATTTGACTGGACTTTCACATCAATTCTAAGGCATCCCAGGCTGGATTTTTAGGGTCATATTTCTATTTTCTTGGTATGTCTTGTTTTTCTTGCCTTGAAGAGTCAGTCAGGATGTACATTTTCTGTAGTAGACAAAATTCAGTATAGTTAATTAATCACT